TATCTCACAAATATACTGACAAACTTTGAGCAATGCTTCTACGGAACCATAAGGAGGCACAGTTAATGAAAAAATGTCTTTTGAGATAACCGTCGCGGATGAACCTCTGGATTCCCGTGTGGCCCTGCCAGATCGGAAGACAACCCACTTAGGTCGTTATAAGGGTTCAAAGATTGTGTAGGCTGTATGCCACACCCAAACGCGGACGAGTTTTACGACGCCGTAGATGCTACACCATTCACGATGGGCATCCAGGGTGGAAGACAGTGGAAGACATTTTGGCTAGATGTAGACAGCTCTTTAAACAATTGCAACGGCTAAAATCTCGTCCGAATACCACTTTCATCCCATTTGCGCCATGGTAATCTCGTCCAACCTCTATTTTCACTACTTTTAGGGAACCTCTTTTTGCAATGTCGATGATTTTCTCGCACTCTTCGTCACCAATGCACTGTACTCCAACAACACTTCCGCTTTTCAACTTGAAAAGGGTGGCTCAAAGTTATCTCAAAATTCCCCTTTAAGGAGCAATGGTTGCTAATATGATTACCAGAAACCCCTTTTTCTCAGGTATAGGCGGGCGTAACTCGTAGTTATCCATTTCATCCAAATAAGTAGAGGGTTAGTTTTCTAATCTGGTTCAGCGAAGGTAAATACTAGTGAAAGCAAGCTAGTCAGGGATCTTCGTAAATAAGTGTTGCTGACGGAGCCATCGCTCTCAGACGCGAATCTTACTCCTTCATAATTCAATAAGATAGGGGTTCCTCTTTTCCTCTTCTCATAAGGAAGAATAACTATTCAATAGCTCAAACTGAGAACAAGGACGGCTCTCGTTCAGCCGTTTAAGGGCCTTCTTCGAGCCTTTTTAATTACTTGGTCTGCAGGATGCAATGTCGAGCTCCATTCGAACGTCAGTAAGTAGGAACCAACTCTGACAACATGTCTAACGCGATTTCCCCTCTTCGAGAGGACTTCCTACTCATCTGCTTCACAACTGTTGTGATATCATCGGCCGTGACTCGGTTTTTTAACGGTCACGCCTTCTGTAGCCGGCTAAGGTACCTAGACTGGCTATGTACTCATCGAATTGATCACGAAGCCAATTCTATGCTTCATTGTTGAAGCCAACTGCCACTAAATCATTTCGTCGATCCTGTTTAGCCTTTGAAATATGGTGTGGCATGCTATGGGCACTGAGCATGACGCCTTTGGGCTAATAAGAAAGATTAGAAAAAAAGAAGGATGAGGGCAGGAGATTTGAGCTGATTTCATTTGGAACCCATATGAAGCAAGTAGAGGCATTAAATTCTTTCTAAAGTTCAACGCTTCAACGGCACTATCCTGGAAAGCTGAGGAAGTGAGAAGAGAATTTCCTGGAACCGCATCAAGTGGATGAGTTGACTTTGATAAGCTATAGATTCCAATCGTGGGGCCAAGATGATGTATTACTTTAAAAGGAGAGAGCCCCTTCATAGAAAAAGCTTAGCCATTGTCCAGCTCTTGGTAGAGGTGGTGTGTTCCCAAGTTGCTTCCTATAACAGCGCTCGGCCCGGGGACCGAGACCAGAAGAAACTCGAAATAGCCCGACATGATATCTTCCCAAGCCAACCGACACTCTCGTTCCTCCGAAGCCGATAATTGGTGTCAAACTTGTCCGGGAGAATGAAAATGCTGGATATGCCTCGGTTGGTGGCCAACCAAGGCAAATGTATAGGCCACATACACGTTCCAATGCCTTGAGGATTATGAATGGACGCCAAATACATAGGCACATCCCAGAACGGGTTGATCAACGTCAGAAGACGTTATCCTGATCCTCTGTTTTCTGATTGCATTGGGTAGATTTGTCTGGTTAGGGCAGTTTTTTCTCCACCTCAAAGGACCTTTTCATGGACCCATCACTCCGAGATCTTTTGATTCCTCGATCCTCTTACATGTGACGAAATGAAGTGGAATGTGACGTGGGGTGTCCGGACGAATTTATCTAACGATGGCGGCTTTCTGGCTTTTACCAGTGATCTCATCCCTTATATAATAGAACAAGTTTCGGCCGGCACAGGGGCAGCCATCGCTACTCTACGTCTTGCTAGCAGCTGGCGCTGCTACATACTAACCACCAGGGGCAGAACTGCCCTGATCTTAAGCCTGTTTCACTTGACTACTAATTGCATTCGGGCTTTTTCGTCTCGTTTTTTTTTCAGAAATGACTCAAACTTGTCCCTTTTCCATTTGTAGACCCATGTTTTCTCAGTGTTTACACCGTTTTTGAGTGTTCTTCTGTGAAACAACGCTCTTAAGTAGTAACGATTAAGTTTAATGGCCAATTTCTTTCTATCCACTTTTTTTCTTGATTACTATCCTTCCACTTTCCAGTTTTCACTAAAGTGGCACTTTCGCGTTTATTTTTTATTTGTTTGTTTGTTTGGAAGGAAGTTAGGCAGCAAAGGTTGTTCCTTACAGTATCTACAGAACGTGATAGTCGGGGTGGGAAAGGTTTTTTTCCATGAACCACATAGCTCATCGTCATTCCTAGCATCCTAGCACCATCGAACATTGGACTTCTGGACAACTATTTTGAGCAGTTTTCAACGAATAAGCAGTTTTATAAATGTGAAAAAATAAAATAAAACAAAAAGCATATACATCAGGATGTTGAGAAGCTTCAGGCATTGTCTCTAATAATTTGCCTTCAAGAACTTCGATTGGACTGGGACTTCAACATAAAAGTTTTTCAAATTTTTGATTACCATTTCATAGTGCTTTACCAACTATGTTGACCTATGATGGATAAAGCGCCGGATATTTTGGCGCTAATCAATTCCATCTGAGGGATGCGCCCCATATTCGACTCCCTTTCTGAATCGTGGCTATTGATTGCATATGTAGCCCGATCAATGAATTGTGGTGGTCAGCCGATGGACGAGCCAATGCATTTTTTCCTCCCAAACGAGCCTGGTTGCAACCGACCCCAGAGTGATAGACAGCTTGTTTGGCCTAAAGAATATCGATGTGGGGGATTCAAACCCGATACATGTGGCTTGTAATAGTGTGCCACTTCCCACTACAACAAATCTTCCCGTTGAACTTTATACAGTTTAATATGCAAAAAGGGAAAACTAGCTATTCTATCAGCATTTTGGGCGGGTACTGTAATGACCCGCCAGGATCGAATCTCGGATCAATACCCGCCCTGTCCAACCATACCCTACATCTCTCTGAAGTCACATGGAATTTTGCATTGACCACCGCAATCAATTTAATCGAATTGGCATTCGTCCAACGGACTTGATTAACCCCGAAGACTTTATCCTTTTACTATTTTGTAACTGGCTTCAAGTAGGATCGTCCATAATGTACCATGGACTAGGAGTAGTCGATATCGTACGCATTATGAAGAGACAACCAAGCTAATGAGATAATATGTCCTATTGATCGCTTTCCGCTCGCTCGTGGTTATGCTGTTCTGAGATTATTAAGTGTAGAAGATCGGCGATCATAGAAGTGTACGTAAGTGGTGTGACAATGGCGCAGGATCAAAACATTGCCCCTGTCTGGTTAGTGAAGATCAGCCCCATCGCCATGAGGGAAGGCTTTTGAGCCATCCTTGTCCATATTCTCTGTATTAGAATAAGCTCAGAATGTTTCATGTTACCGTTTCCCTTTGTCAAAACCACGAAGTCAATATTTCCAGAACGAAGGGCCCAGACAATGTCAAAATCCTGCCCATGCCCTCTGAAAAGCCCTATCGATTCACTAAGAACTTACTGTTGATTCCCATCTTCATTACTAGATGGCCGGCCCTTTTTTGTCAAAGTCTCGTGCTTTTACACGCGATTTTCCGGAAGCTTCTCGGAAATTTGTTTATGCGTTTTTTGCAAAACGATGTTTTCTTGCAATCGGAGTGATTTTCCATCTATTGCTTATCAGAGGTGAACATGATGGTGTTCAATAAATGCAAGAAATATTTCTGTTTCATCGATATAGATAAATAAATAATAAATTTGCATTTGAAGGAATTTGCAAACAAATAAATAGCCAGTAAGAAGTCCATTTTGTAACAGAGCTTCACTTGATATCCATTTCCTTTTCCTACGCTATTTCTCTGTATAACCATTACGTGTCCCCACTCAACCACTTTCCCTTCAGCCTTATTTGTGTTTATCCCGTAGACTTGTTACCTTCACTTGTTTACGGATGGCTTATCTAAATAGCCACACTCAAGAGCACCCGAGACCTCTCTCATCCCAAAGTAACAACTACAACTTGAATGAGGTGCAGAAAGTGAAGCAATTTGTGTCGACTCTCGTTTATCTAATGAGTCCCGTTATGTGGAGGATGGAACGGGTCTGAAACACGATTCTTTATTAACTCTTCTTACATAGCTTGTTCCCGAGCCCCTCTCCACTCACTCTAACTTACGGAACTACCCCTTGATGATTGCTTTCTGCAAATGCTCCTGGGAATGTCATTTCGGATCTAAGACGTACTCCAGTGAGGACCGCGAGCCTCCGTCCGTGTAGCGCTTACCTCGGAATGTGAAGGCCTTCCTCTTTCCGTACTCATCCATCAACTTGTTTACTTTACTACCGTAGTGCTAAAGAATCGTGAACATGGTGTTCGTTGCTGACTGGATATGAACGGCTTCCTATCCCTTCGTTGTTCCTGTATTCCATGCAAAAACACAGCACCAGCTGTCATGCCGCCCTCAATTCTCACCTTTCACCGGATTTGGCATTTGTTTACTTTTCTCGCTTGTTTACAAATTTGCAGGAACTCGATAAACTTTCACTCATTTCCTTCCTATGGAAGCTTGCATCATTCTTCTCCATCTTTTTGACTCTTAGGACATTATTCCACGGTTTTCTGCAGAATGGTGGGATCTCTACTGTCTGAGATCCCTTCCCGTTTACATGACGACAAGCTAATGAAGACGAATTGGTGCAATTTCACCTGCGCCCATCTTTTGAGCGGTTGTCGTCGTGCTACTAGCACCAGTTCCGCTATTTAGCCATTGCTCGAACCCTCCCCGTTGCTTTCCAGTTCCTCATGTTTCCGTTACCGACACAGAATTGATCTGCAGGTACTTCCTTTTCTAAGTTGGCATGCCCGATTGAGATTTTCATTGAACCTAACCGAATGGCAGGAATAGCCATCAGGTTCTGACAAAGATGTAGAGGTAAAGAAGAAGTATCTGACAATTTACCTGCAAATAAAACTGGTAATTTCAAACTAGAGCTAGTCATTCGTCTGGAATTTCTATCTATAACCCATTGACGAGCAATACGTGTCGCCAACACCCACAACCTCACTTCGCACTTAAATTGCCTCTTGCAAGGTCGTCTGTCTTGTCCGTCGCATTTTTCTTTCATCATTTCATAGCTTTCCAACACCTCTGCAATTAGGAATTCAAGTCGAATGCATAGCACAAAAGCTACTCGCAGCTTCACTTTGTGACGCTGGAGCTGACTATGGACCTGACATGATACGAGACCCTCAGCTGTACGTAGGTAGGTGAAACCGACCCAATCCAAAAGACGTCGAAAATCCTGGTCCCACAGAGCTAAAATACCTGGTCATAAGTGGAGGCAGAGACCCTCAATTAAATGCTCCTTACATAGCGTTGATGAGGTCCCAAGTCCTTGTATTTAAACGCCCAGATGATGGGCTACCAGACGTGATTCTCCTACTTGGGCCAATCGTATGGAGTAGTTAAAAGCTATGTAGAAGCTTTCAAAGTGACTTCAGGGGTTTTCAGCCCTTAATCGCATTGCACTGCATTTGTTACGGAAACACCTCATCTCGGTCCTTACAGAAATGTGACGATAAATCATCCATGTTATTAGGCAGGTCTATTGAGATTGCCGCACTGGATAGCCAGCCAGCCGCCTGCGATCTCACTGACCCGGATACACCACTCCTGGTTGCTTTGACGGACTTGAAAAGCTTATCATACGTATGTCATCTTTACATTCGGACATAGTCAGATAGACATCTGCGTCGACGTCGTCGTCGTCGAACAGCGCCCACGCCTTGTTCGCAACATGGACGGATTCTCGTGTAGGCGACATTCCTCACGAATTTCGACTTCTCCGACTGCTTGCATGTTCCTTTCATTCGACTAGCTTCACTTTTCATTCACCTTTCACTTCGAATCATCCTTTCATCCAATCATCCATGAAAGGATCCTCCTGGATGGTCCTCATTACTACTTTCCCCACCCTGCGGCTCTCCTTTTACTCGGTAAAACTCAAACCTAACATTTTTTTCCGAAGTATCCTTGTCGTGGGCGCCTAATTGTTGGTTGTGTCCCTTTACTCTACGCCGAGACGGCAGCTTTCTTGGTAGCAAGCAAAGCCGCTCTATTAAGCAGCCAACACAAAAACATCCAGCCACTACTCACATGTTCCCCTCCTCAATAGCATCTCTTCCTTCAACGGAATCTCATCAACCGTGTAGCAGCTTTACGTATCAATGAATAATCGCTGTTGAAGGACATCCAGCTTTGGACGTGGTTGACATCTACTTTTTTGATTACTGTACTGTAGTTTGTAGTTCCCCGTTGCCTAGTTCCCATCCTCACATCGCCCTCCCACCTCCTCCTACATTTCTAACTCTGCCTTTTCCCTTCCTACAGTCCTTTTAAGTAGTTTTGGAGCTNAGCTGGTCCAGCAAACTATCCAATTCATTCTTACCAGAATTGGAAAAGATCCGATGCAGTAAGACACCTACTTTGATGGATGAAGTTGAAGAAGTCGACTAAGTTTTGAAAAGCAAAGTTTTTCCCCGGTCAGAACAGAGTCCATAGTTAGTACAGCGCACCATCACTAACTTTTGCCATTTTATTTTGCCATTATTCCATTGCATGGCGTACCCTTTTCCGCCCCTTTCCTTTGCAAACACTTGAAACCCGAGATATGAATGAAATTGGGGTTCATTTCACTACTTTATTGAGCATTCTGATGCTTTTCAGGAAAGAGCCCAGATGGTTGCTGGGCCATTTTACTGTCTGGGTGAAGTGCAGAAGCAGTGAAGATTTTCTGATTTCTCAAGGAAAGATTCGGAATTCTGCTCAGGGACCAGTTCAGAGCTCGCCAAGCCGCTACCCTGTTAGGTATTGGAGGCCATTTTAGTATGTCGCCTCTGCGTAGGGCCTTTCCGCAACCATGCATCGCAACTCGTGTTCAACGGCTTATCTTGCGACGCCCTAAATGGGTCATTGAAGAGTTTCATTTAATTGCTCTAATCGCAGATCATCTGGTCTCGGAAGGCCCTCAAATTGCAATGCCCTTTTTTCCTCATAAAGCCACTTTCACGTACGACTGCGGTAGGCGCCATGTCAAACCTAATGACTCAATGATGACTACTCTTCCTAACCAGATCGGCACTCATTACTTTGCACCTACAAACGAATGACCGACCGAAGATGTTTTTGGCGACCTTGTAGCCCTCGTCGTTTTTTACCGTTCATAGTCCTCGCAATAGATTCACGACGTAGTTGTGTGTACCTCAAGGTTAGACAAATCTTGCGCATCGATCATCATCACCAGAATACTTGGGCCACTTGATCGCTCCTCCATCGCGGTCCGTCCGCCGTCTGCCTGCCGTCCGTCCGTCCGTCCGTCACAGCCATCGTCGTGTCGGCGGCATAAGGTGCGAATCGGGAGGCAATCATAACGCCTCCCTGCCGTGCACTCACCTCATATCGACCTGACCCCCCTCCCCAACTGTATGCAAATCACCTCGGTAATACAATACCGTATTTGTCCGTACGGCAACCCTCATTTCCGTTCCGACGAGCCCGTTACACATCTCAAGATGGGATTCGGTACATCCACGCCTCCCTCCAGCTTACCGGGCCACTTAGGATTTTGCCACCACATTCTTCCGGCCATCCCTTCACTACATTTATTCAGCCTACTCAGGGAGGAAAATATCCTGCCAGTCGGCTGTGTCGCTGTAACTTTTTACTAGTAAAGTAGTACTTGAAATATTTATTACCCTCTAACCTTGGTTCGATCCATTATTACTCTGCGTAGGTATTCGTTTCGATAACGAGTAAAGTACGATTTCATTCGTCAGAAACAGTCGCCATGACTGGTTTCCTGGGAATTCCATTCGTTTTCGTTTACGGGAACCTCTGTTTTTTTTCATTTTGATCCAAAGAAAAAAAGATTTTTCAATAGAAAAAGCCGTCAGTTTCGAATTCTTTCGTTTTTATTTTCCTTTTGGTAAAATTCTTCGGAAATCACTCGTACCTTCCGTTACTTGTTCCGTTAGAATTCCCAAACGTGTTCCTCTGATTTTCATTTCGTAGGATGTGGGTGCCATGGTTGGCGTTCCTTCCTCTGATGGCAGCAGCGATGCGTGTCGATCCAGAACGGATTGCTGCCCGATTAAGAATTGAAGCAGAGACTTCAAATGATCTCGACGATTTACGAAGTGGACGAGGTCGACGGCAACTGCAACCAAAGGAGATTAGTATACAGGTGAACAATTAGTAACCTTTTTACAGTTGCCTTTACTAGAGCGAACTCAAAATTTGTTTTATTTGGTTGACTGCCAATTTTCGCCTATCTCCCTGAATTATTGCAAGCTGTTTGGCCTTCAAAATGATAATCGTAAGAGAACGAAGGGGATTCAAATTCCGTAACATTTCGCTTTACAACTCAGTGTCCTTCTGATTTCCGACGCTAAACATTGTCGCTTCGACCTTTTCTTCACTGCTGAGGCTTTTCCTCTCCGTGAATACTGATGAATCTGAGTATACCGGTTATTCTCTTTCCTTTTCATCCCATAATGTTTGACTTTTCCAACTCTTCGGAGGACTTCGCTGTGGTGACGGCTCGAGTAGCAAAAGTTAACAATAGCTTCTGAGGTAGGCATACTTCTCATTCCATCACATTCTTCCTGTTAGTTTGAAAAATCTATTCAATCCTGTAATTTTGCGCTTTGCCGAATTTTACCCCTTCATTCCGCTAGATGCATCTATCCATGCATTCATAGAATCTTGTCGAAGATCGCCACAAATCATCGCACGCTTTTTTCTTTTGGTGCAGGTTTGGCTTTTGAAAACAGATTTTCAACGAGATATTCACACCCTTCATTCCACTCTAGTGGACACTGCTCTTCCAGGGCGCTGATTGAAAAGAATCTGAAGAAGTGGGGCTCGTGGAATCCCGTTCCTACCTCTCCAAGCACAAATGCGAGCCTTCTTCCTCGAATGAACAATTAGTGTTACCTCTTCCATGGATTCTTGACATGACTGAAATTCTTCCTAGGGAAACCGGTGTGCTTCCATGACGGTGATTCTTTGTCGAACTTCAACATTAAGTTTGAATCGCTCCTTTTCACCACAGTCGTTAACTGGAACAGAGGTTTCTACTGGGCGATAAGTTTGTTCTTCTGAGCAAATGACATTCTTTCTCATCTTCATTTCCTTTCGCTTCCATTACTTACACGTAAGCGGACTGAGGTATACACAGAGCCTTCCCAAGGAATTCCCTGGCAAGTGACGATGAACTTTCTACTCCTACATTGTTTAAAAGTATTCGGGCCATTCTCTACCCTTCATCCACAGGTACGACAAGCGTGATCCTATTTAATCTCAAAGCAATTTTCAAATCCACAATTTTCGAATGAATTCAAAACCTCCGTATCTATTAATAACATCTCTCAAAAGTGTCCAGACAAGCCTTGGCTACAACTGAGGAATTTCGAATTCTTTAAGGCTTTGCGATGTAAATAGAATTCATCAGCTCGGAAGCTGTCATTCAAAATTGGATGCATCTCAAAGATAGTAGGATTTTTAAATACTTGAGTCAAAAAACCATTCGGAAGGGGTCGGCAAGCGAGGTTTCGATAGTGTAGGTATGAGCTGCGCGGTACCCAGGAAGCATCAGTATCGGTTCAAGTCCCGTTCGATACCAAAATGTTGCCCACAGCTCGCCAATCTTGTCAGATTTCGAGCTATGGTATTTGGTGTATCAGTTAGTCCGCTTTGAATTATAGCTGAACGCCGTCCTCGAGTCCTACATTCGTTATGAACAAGAACGTTTCATACTGTCCAAGGGAACCAGTAACCCGGTCCTAATTGGAAAGGGGAAATCAAAGATTTCGCTTTCACTGCATTAGGGTGATCAGATACGAAGGCGATCCCGGCAGATAACCATCTTTATGAAACCCGGGGACGCCAACGCCAGAACTAGGAATTTGAAGCGTCTACGGAACTGGGAGATCCGAGATGTTGTTCCATTTCTTCAAAACAAATTACTAGTTCCGGTTCCGTAGCAACTTTCCCTTCGACTCGATTCGTTTCTAGCAATTGGACATGTCCTTAATAGGCCAATAGAAATAGAAAAAGGAGCCCTCTGAAACCCATCAAGCCAGCTTTCATTTTAATTGCTTTAATTACATGCACGATTGCTGCTTGTAGGCTTTTTTCAGAGACAATTTAGCACATAGTCAAAGGTGACATCCTTCAAAGAAGGGGGTACTTGGTTCGAAGCCTTCGATTGGACCTTCTTCAACAAAGCTAGCAAGCAGATGGGAGAAACTCGGACTTCTAGTCTCTCACTTTCAGGTGACAGCACCTCTGTTCTCATCGCGACTTTTCGAATTCGGTAAGGATGCCGAAGACAACGAGGTTCCTCAGGCCCTGGATGTCGGGAAGAAAGTCCAGCTAACCAATCCAGTCAACTTCTATGGAGAAGATTACAACACCCTTTATGTAAGACCCCAGAATTACTTGTATTTCCCTTTGAATGAACGATATCCTTCAGGTACTCTCAAATGGTGCTATCGGGTTCGAACCAAACGCTCGTGCCTACAAAGCAGGCCTATTTCCGAGTGGTGCGAGAATGATTGCGCCATTCTGGAATAGGAATGATCTTCGGAAAGGTGGTCATGTCTACTACCGAGAAGTTACCAGTAAGTACCTCCATTGCAGAGCTGTTGCCGACAGGTTCCAATTACAACATTTCCAGAAGGTAGAGTGTTGGAACGAGGCCAGAGCGAAATCCGGTACCAATACGACCGGTCTGTCACTGTGAAATCAGCTGTGATTGTCACTTGGGAAAAAATGCAACCGCTTGAAGGCACTTCTGCTCTACCTGAAGAGGTTGGCAATCACTACTATCAAGCAACTCTGCCTTTTGAAGTTTTTTGGTCCCACTTTTAGCTCTGGCACACTTCAAAGTTTAAATTTCCAGAACACAAATACCTTCCAAGCTGCCCTATTCATCACGGACAATGGCACTTACGCGAACTTCATCTACAGCAACATAGGCTGGACCCAAGGTGCTGAGGTAAGCCGGCAAGCCTTTCATGATCCTTCCAACATCTTTCCCTGTTACGACACGCCCTTACTCATGCGGTTTCCCGCAGTGTGTACGTATGCTAATGAGTTCGGGAGGACCGGCTTCGCATAGGGTACCGGGTGAAAGCCTAAAAGCATCTTGCCGACCTGATGTCGGGACAGATCTATAAGGAAAACAAGTATGAGCGTCCTTCGGAGACCAAAGCATTCGCGACCTCGCCGCATTTCCTGTTTCCCTCTCTCGTTTACTAGTCTCGGAAAGGTAACGTCTGCTCACTCATACGAAGGACGACTATGGTATTCTTTCGGTGGGGCACTTGAATGGTCGAAAAGCAGCAAGGTGGAATTACAAGAGAAATTCCTGAAAATAAAACGATGACAGGGAGGGAAATGGGAACTGATACAGATTCCTTCCTTGTCTGGGACTTGACGAGATCCAATTGTGATGGTGATGTTTCTGGGAAGGACCTAGGCCTCTTTCTTCCAAGAAAATTTTTCAGAAGACGTCGTGAGGCATAGATTTTCCCAGAAAGTCGTTTAAACGTTTCCAGGCTGGTTTCAATCGTGGCGATAACTCCGAGCACTATGCTCTGCCGACATCGGGTACTGGAAACATCATGTACTTGGAGGAATACGGTAATACAGGAATACCCGGAGAATGGATGTTTGAATTGGGTGAGAAGCGGGTGATCCGATGTAAACAAGGCATCAAGGGTGATACATGCGATGAAGGTGAGCGATCTCATTTTCTGAACTAATCTACGACTACATTGGGACCCAGGTCCTTTTATTATATCCTCCCATTTCGTTCAAAACGATCGTTTTTGAAGAAAAGCCCCGTTTCAGAGTGTTCATCAGGGGAATGGGGTGCCGATTGTGCATCATGTTGTCACTGTGGGGAAGGAACATGTCACCCGTTGACTGGTGAATGTCCCAAAGGATGTGCCGAGTGTTGGTTGGGAACCAATTGCCAGACAAGTCAGTTTAAAATCGTTGTTTACCACATTGCAAGGCTATATCGATATTTTCAGAAAAAGAAAATTGTCATGCCAGACCATCAGCTCAATGTGCTCCAAATGCAATTTCATTCACCGACTACGATCGTTGTGGGGAACCATTGCAAAGGTGTCAATGCTTATCAGGGTTCAAAGGGGACGGCTACAAAACTTGTCATGGTAAGGGCTCTCATTAATATTTTATTTAATTTTCTATATTTAAAACCTATATCAGAAAGGGAATGTGTCGCCATCACAATAGAAGGCAGCCTAGAGAGTTTCATCGGTGCTTAGAGTCTGTCAGAAACGCCTCCTCTGGCAGCTCCGCCCATCAACGAATTGGCGTTCGCTTCCTAAAGCAGCTGATTCATCAGCACTATTAAATTTGCCAATTAATCTTTTCTAAGAGAAATTAGGATTCTGTCGTTGCGTTTTTGCTTCCATAGGTAAAAAATGCGAGAAGATCGAGAACGAACGGCTCGTAAATCTCCATTAATCAACGGCAGAAATGAGGGTTTCATTTGAGATACCGAGCAATAAATTTTAATTTTTTCACTTCTCATCACTGTCGGCTTGAACCCCGTAACCTAAATCCGGCTATCGCTGAATGTGCTCCCAAATATTTCGATTCGCTTTCTTGAGTTCAGCCCCTGGTCTCATAAATCTCCAGATCCTGATCGGGAGTGTGAAAGGGAAGTCAAAAAGAATCAACATCAACAATTTATGACTTTATTAGCCTGTACTGGAAATTCGACATTTTTGTGATTGCAGGCTTCTTACCCAGACCAGAGACGCTCTGGGACAATGGGGTAAAGTTTAAATGATACTCAGGGAATGCTGCGACTTGGGGTGCTCTTGTGTTGCTAGGAGCAATTATACCGAGAGTTTGTGGAAGACGTTTTCTCGAATACGACTCCCATTCATTTTTCAATTGAAAATTCCGGCTTCCAGTAGGACGCCCAAAGCACCCTATATGCGTTGGTAATGAAATACTGGTGGAGCTTAAAGGCACTGTTCACGAAAAAATGGTTTCGGAGATTTGCACATGGTTTGAATTCGACGCTCGCTCTGATACCATTTGTGCAGGAATGAGGTCGAGTCTGGATAGGGCACAATAAGGGGCCGGAGAGT